ACAGTAGTGGCTTCATTGTCAAGTTTTGTTTCAGCTTTCCACTAAAGTCTTTTTGTACAAAAAGAATAGGGGCATAGGGCATGGGCCCACATTTACAGAACATAATATATGAGCCATGGTTTAATTCCCTGGGTTTTTTCAAATAAATCCATAAATTAACTTAAGTAATAATTAAAATTGGTTCTGTAATCAAATTTTGTACAGTTACTAATCTGAGGTTTTAAAACTGTTGATTTTAACAGCATCTCAGGGAAAAGTTACTACTTAACAGTAACTAGGTTCACCAGGAGATGGAGACAACAGCCCAAAGGTAAGTAAAGAGCCAGGAGACTTGTGCAACACTTAAACAGTAGTATTGGAAGCCTTACCAGTGTTTACTGGGAGATAGTCTATTGGACAATCGGATACCTGAAATGTTTATATACTAATGAGGGAAACATGGGGAATAAACGGGAAGAATTAGAGGTCCAAGTACAATTGAGGAATTATGATGTGATTGGGATAATGGGTGTGGTGGGATAGCTCACATGACTGGAGTAGTCATGGATGGGTGTACGTTGTTCAGGAGGTGCAGGTAGCAGAAAAAGGAGGTGCTACCCTATATAGAAATGAGATGTACATATGTTTTGAGGTGCAGTATGAAGTGGGAGGTAGGCCTGTTTGAAGCCTGTGGGTAAAGGTCAGAGGGCAGAGCAGTAGGGTGGATGTCATGGTGGGCATCTGCTATAGGCCACAACCAATAGAAGTTTCCAAATTGCAGGACCTGGTTCTCATGGGGGACTTAACTACCATAACATCTGCTTGGAGGAAAACACAGCAGTGCTTAAGCAGACCAGCAGATTCCTGCAGAGTGTTAGGCATAACTTTTTAGTACACGTGGTGGGGAGACTCATGAGTGGGGATGCTCTACTCAACTTGCAGCTCACAAACAACGAAGAATTGGTTGAGAATTTGAAGATGGAAAGTAACTTGGGTAATGGTGACCATGAAATTATAGCATTCAAAATCCTTAAGGGATGAAGGAAGGAGAGCAGCAGAATAAGGACACTGGTTTTCAAAAAAGGTTTCTTTAATCAACTCAAGAAACTGGTAGGCAAGATTCCCAAGAGGCAAGTCTGAGAGGGGAAAAGGAGTTCAGTAGAGCTGGCTGTACTTCAAAGAAGTCATATTAAGAGAGTGGGAGTAAGCTACTTTAATGCAACTGAAGAATGGGAGGTGCAACAGGATATCAGCCTGTTAGACAGTACTCTCCTTAGTGAGTTGAACCTTGAAAAGGAATCCTACAAAAAGTGAAAACTTGATCATGTTACTAGGGACGAGTATAAGAGTATCTCATGGGTTTGTAGGGGGAAAATGAGGAAAGCCAAGGCATGATTTGAGATGCAACTGGCACGGCACATACAAGGAAATAAAATGGCATTCTCTGAGTATGTTAAAAGTAAGTGGAAAACCAGAGAAACCATAGGTCTCCTATGGGATGCAGAAGACATTAGTTAGGGATGATAAAGAGAAGACTGAAATATTTTTACTTCACTCTTCACAAATAGGGTCTGGTACCAGATGGTGAGTACAGTCAGCAGCAAAGATGGGGAATGAGGCAAACACCTTTGAGCAGTAAAAGAACAGGTTAGGGATTACTTAAAGAAGCTAGATGCTTTCATTTGGGTAGGCCCAGATGCACCCTAAAGTGCTGAAGGAATTTGCTGAGGTAATTCCCATAGCCAATTCCATTGGCTGTCTTCTTAGAGAACTTATAGAGTGAGGTCTGGATGGTTGAAAAAAGGCAAATAGTGCCCATCTTTCTCTTAAAAAAAACAAAACAAAACAAAAAAAAAAACCAACCAAAAAACAAACAAACAAAAAACCAATAGAGCATGTCTTTAACAAACCTATTTTGAAACATCTGGTGGCTTTCAACCTGTGGTCCACAGACCCCTGGGGGTCTGCAGACTGTCTAAGGGGTCTGTGAAAGATGACTATGATCAATCAAAAGTATTTGAATACCCACACTTACAATTGAAAGGGGTTTGAACCTCCATTCAGAAATTTTTAGGGGTCTGCAAATTAAAGTTTTAAAACTACTGATCTAGACAATAATATGATGATCAGGAACAGCCAGCATGGATTCAACAACGGGAAGTCATGCCTGACCAACTGGATTTCTTTCTATGACAAAGTGACAGGCTCTGTGCATGGGGGGAGAACAACGGATATGATATACCTTGACTTTAGCAAGTCTTTTGACACAATCTTCCATGATATTTTTATTAACAAGCCAAGGAAATACGGACTAGATAAGTTCTGCAAGGTAGATACAAAACTGGTCTGATCATCCTTCTCAATGTGTAGAATGGCAAGGGTTCTGTACTGGGTCTGGTATTGTTTAAAATCTACACTTTGGACAGAATAGTTGGATTCACAGATGTGGGAAATCACTCCTACCTGCATTCAAGAATACAGACTGGAGAGTGATTTCTTGGTTCTCTGCAGTATTGCAGCCTAAGGATCTGTAGGTTACAATAGACCATAAGCTGAGTATGAGCCAACAGTGTGATCTCATTGCCAAAAAAGCCAACAGCATACTCGGCTGTGTTAACAGGAGTCTTGCTTGCAAATCAAGGGAAGTGATTTTTCCTATCTATTTGGCACTCTTGACGTCTCACCTGGAGTACTGTGTACAGTTTTAGACCTCATACTTTAAGAAAAATGGGCAGATTGGAAAGGGTCAAGCTGAGAGTGACAAAAATGATTAGAGGCCTGGGAAGCATGGCTTATGGTGAAAGGCTGAAAGAGAGAGGGCTGTTTTAGTTTGGAGGAGAGAAGACTGAGGGGGAATTTGATAATAGGTTTCAAATATGGGGAGGGTAGTTATAGAGAGGTTGGAGATGGTCCTTTCTTTGTGGCTGTATGGGACAAGATGAGCAGTGGCTTCAAGCTTCAGCAGAGGAAATTGATGTTGGACATTAGAAGGAACTTTTTGACTGTTAGGGTGGTCAAGCATTGGAACAGGCTATCTAAAGAAGTTGTGGAATCTCCTGTCCCCAAAATTTTCAAGATCAGGTTACTTCCCTGGGATAGTTCAGTCAGGGATGGTCCTGTTGAGCAGGGGGCTGGACTAGATGACCTCATGAGTGAATTCCATTCCTAGTTTGCAATTATGTTCATTTTAGATTTAGCAGCAATACGTAAAAAAGAACTTTTTTCATTACAAATATTTTGTTACATTAATGCATTAGAATATAACTTGATTTTTTAAAGTGTTGGAAGAAAATTTTGAAAATAAGAATTGTTAGCTATCTGGCTTCTTTCACAAAGAACATAATCTTTGTAAAAGCTATAGCTAGTTCAGGGGTAGATGCCATTCCTCATTAACATAGCCACTGCAGGCACAGATTCTTCCTGAAAAATAACAAGTTGGAATGAATGACATCATTATATGGCATATCAGTACAGCCTGTTGCATGTGTAATATACTTGATTTAAAATCTCAAGGTCAAGGAAATGAAAAGCAAAATCATGAACATGCTCCCTTCCTTTTTCTCCTTCACTTCCTCTTCCACAAGACACTCATCTCAGTCTGTGCAGAATCGACCTGCTTCCGGGGCAGTGTTGCAACCTCAGTTTTGCAGCATTTAAGGATGCCAGCCTTCCCCCACACCTTTCCCTAAACTTGAGTAAGATTTCCCAGAACCAAGTAGAGGTCCTCATTAGATGGGAGGAGTCTGGTTTGTTTGATTTTCATGGCAGGAGGCATGATTGTGGGATAGTGTGTTAGATCTAACTGTGCCTTGTTGCTGGCATAGGGGGGCCTGATCCTGGTCTCCCCTTGTATCCACAAAAAGCAGGCTCCCACATTGGGTTAGCCCCCTTTGTTAAGGGGGCTCCCAGCTGCAGGGATCATGCACAGTTGGGACTGAGAGCTCCGTCAGCTGTGGGATCTGTAGCCCCCACATCTGTGTAGTGCTGCTGCAGTCTCCCAGCCGTGGGGGTGTGTGGAGCACCCTATGGATAAGAGAGAGCAGTGGCTGGGAGATTGCAGTAGCTGCAGTCTCCCAGCCACAGATTGCCTACACATGTATATTTAACCTAGATAGAAACCAGCTGTAAAGATATTACACATATTTGAGCAATAACTTTATAGTTGGTTGGCCATTTTTAAGGCACAATAGTTAATTTGCATGTATAGCCAGTTTAAATTATTGTGCAATTAAGAAGGTAATTGTGCAATAGATATAATGTGTAGAAGGGGCCTTAAAGAATGGCCTTAAAAACCTGGGGGAATTAAGCATGTGTTTAAGTGCTGGCCTGATTATTGTACTCACGAAGTATGGTCTCTTTCTCTTCACTTTTATGGAACAGGTTTGATCTCAGTTAGATTTATTTTTATATACTGAGAGATGCATTGTAATATGAGATTCAAATTTGTATTTAGTCAGTGAATTAAAAAAACCCAAGAATGACACCAAGTGTTTTAGATGCAAATTCATATTAACTATAATTGTAGTAAAATGCCAGAAATCCCATGCTGTTGTTCAGAACAATACCTCTTAAGTAGCTTTTTTATTTAAGTTCTTACCCCCCAAAAAGATTGTAATTGCTTCCAGGCATTTTATTTTTGTTGTGGCTATATTGGTAGTCCATGAGGTTTCATGTACTAAGTGCTAGACAAACACAGAGGACAGTTTCTTCTCTGA